ACTTTAGCACATGAATTTGGGGTGGGACACATTTCAGCCCATAACACAGCCTACTTACATCTGACTTACATACAGCTCAATAAAAGGCAAGAAAGTGATTATTGGAACTTAGATGGAAATAAATTCCAGCCCCTTTAGGCAGTGAAGTGAGGGTAAAGTGAATATATAGAAAATATGGTCAGATGAACATGATACTGACTGAGTAAAGTAACTTTCGGGTACTACAGATAAGCGGGACTGATCAGGCAAAGGACAGTCTGTAGGCAACTCCACTTGAGATGTGTCCCAACTACACCAAAATCATCATGCTCTCGCCACCTGTGACTACCATGTTTCCTTTAAAAATATGACATTTTAAATACTTCGGGACCTGTAGAAAAGAATCCTGAACTCAAAAAATACTTACATTGTCATATTGAACAAAACAGATATGTTCAAGATGATAGATCACCATCTACATTTGCGCCGATCAGCTCTCCCGGTGTGGCTCACCGTAACCAATTTGAGCACATCTCATTTGCTTCCACGCCGCCCAGTTAGAGCTGCCTGCCGTCTCCCTGACTCATCGCTGTCTACAGTGGTAGACAGGAGTAGGGTGGCCGCGTGCCTACAGGAAGGAGGGCTGGCGCCTGGGTCAGACTTCCTTGGCTTCAAAGCCCGCTTATACCTGCCGTATGACCCCAGGTAGGCCATGCGGCCTTTTTAAGTCTGTTGCTTCTTCTGTAATGACAACACCGATACCGAATGAAGAGGGCTAATGCCAAGATTTAAAAGTATATGCAAAGACACATGGGAAGTATCCCATAAATGGTAGCCATATGGTATCCATATAGTCAGACTCTCAAGAGCAAGACAATAGAACCAAACATTGGCCTTCATAAAAGCTTCTTACGTTTCCCTTTCTCTCCAGGAAGGGAAAGGAATCGTTTTTCCTTCAGGCTTCTAGCTTGTCCCTAATTCCCTGCACTTTCTTTTGGGAAACTATTCCAATGTTTTTTTTTTAAACGATTCCAATTTTTATGGCCAGTCATGTTTGAGGCATTTATACACCTATTTCTTTTGCCAATTATGCGCTACAAGTAATGCATGATTTTCAGATTTAAGTCAGTGTCTGAAAAACAACATCATTAAATCTCATTAAATAACATTTTTCTAATGCTGCCTATGTAAAGTCTATTAAAGTTTTATATTGAATCCCAGAGTTGTTTCAGGAAGTGGCTTAAATCTCTGCTTTCCCTTTTCTTATTTGATACATATAGTTTAACCACAATATTTCTAAAGATTAATGCATCAAAATCACTAAACTAAGAATATCACAGATAAGGTTATTTTTTGGTCACTTACCTGGAAGAATTACAATTTTAGAGATGGGAAGTAACAGAAGTGGTCCCTCTACCATCCTCTTTTTCTGAGGGAAGAAGTTGTAAAAGAGGGTCAATCTCTGGGCTCATTTTGGCATGTACAAAAGGCTAGCCTATCTGGACTTACAGGTGATTCTAATTTTTTTTTAATGTGTATTTATTTTTGAGAGAGAGAGAGAGAGAGAGGGAGCAGGGGAGGGGCAGAGAGAGGACACAGAATCTAAAGCAGGCTCCAGGCTCTGAGCTGTCAGCACAGAGCCCAACACGGGGCTCGAACCCATGAATGATGAGGTTGTGATCCGAGCCGAAGTCGGACGCTTAACCGACTGAGCCACCCAGGAGCCCCATGGGCTTACAAGTGATTCTAGAATTAGATACATGTTTACACTGGCCACTGGAATGAGATATGTGGGTTCCATTAAAGACGCTACTGCTTATATAATCTTGATTCTTGACAAGTAAGAACTTTTCAGGATTTTTATTAGTTTTTCCATACTGTCTGGTTGAACTTTGGAGGGAAAACAGAACCCCGGTGTCTTTTAAAAGTGCTTATTTACTTTGGAAGAAATATATCTTTGTTAGATTCTTAAATATCTTAGATTCATCTCATTCTCTGTGTGGACATAGAACGAGCTCTTAAAAGAACTATTTAATTTTCTTCCTGAATTTCTTCTTCTGCATAGCTTAATGCATAAGCCCTAGTTTGCTTTTTGATTCCTTCGTGAGATTGCAGCCCACTAATTTTTTTCTCTACTGAGTTGTGCCTGAGAAAGAAAAAATTTAATTGATTATTGTCTTACCCAGTTCCTTGATGGTGCTTTACCACACCCAGGGCCAATAAAATATTGATGGAATGGTAAAGACAGAAGACTATCTCATGATTCAGTGACTCAAAACTGTGAAAAGCTTTTGTCAAGTAACAATATTTGGAAGGACAACTCAATAAGTTAGAAGGGCTAGACTGACATGCAAATATCCATCACATTTTATTAAGCAAATTAAAAATAGATTTCATCTTTAATATGTGTCCCTACAGAATAAAAGTTACTGGATTCAATTGTTGATTATGTGCTCAGCAGATTGGCTAATTACTTTGGGCAGATGCTTGATGCATATTAATTTGGGTTCCATGTCAATTATGACTATCTTTGTTCACAATCCAGTCTCCACTTAGCACAATTCAGTAACAATGAGGATGTTCACTTGAAATGTAACTGCAAGCAATTCTGATGGGAGACAGAATGGCATCGTGGAAAGAGCCATGAGCTATGAGTGATAGCCTGGATTCTAATGTGTTCCAGACCCCATGATCTTGGGCCAGGCATTTACTCCTCATCTTCGTGCTAGGCATAGCTGCTGCATAGGGTTGTCATGTGAATCCAGGGAGCCAGAGCATCACCATGAGGGACGAGAAGGGGAAATAGCTCTTTATGCACATGTCCAAAGTAGCACCTTAATAACAGTTCTTTGAAGGTAAAACATTAGCTGATGGTTACAAACACATTAGGGGATTTAAAAGACTGACGAATCCCAAGCGTTGGCAAGGATATAGAGCAGCTGGAATTTTCATATATTGCTTGTGGGAATATGACGTGCTACAACCATTGGAAATCAGGTTGGTGCTTTCTTTAAAAAGTTCAACATGTATGTATAGTATGAGGCGATACTTTCATAGTTCCACTCCTAGGTATTTACATAAGAGAAACGAAAACACAAGTATGCACAAAGACTTGTACATAAATGTTTATGACCGCTTTATTCATAATAGCCCCAAACTGGCAACAACACAAATGTCCATCCACAGATGAATGGATAAAGAACTTGTGGCAGAGACATCCATATAAATATAGATACATACACTACCAATATATACTATACCTACTACTCGGTGATAAGAAGAGACAATGCTGCTGACACATGCAATGAAATGAACCTTAAAAACAGTATCCAAGCAAAAAAAGCCAGGTTAAAAAAAAAAAGGGTACATACTGCATGATCCCATTTTTAGAATCATGCCAAATGAGTCCGTTGTGACAGAAAGTGGGACAGTGGTTGTCTAGAACTGGGCACTGGGGGGAAACTGATTGTAAAGGGGATTAGGGAACTTTACGGAATGATGGGATGGAAGGTTCTATATCTTGATGTGATGGTGGTTTTATAGATGTACCTATTTGATAAAACTCATCAAGCTGTATGCTTGAAATGGGCATACTTCATCATGTATAAATTAGATCTTGATAAAATTGAATGAAAAACTGAATGCATACACACACACACACACACACACACAGGGAAAGCAGTGACAAATGTCAATCTGAAATGTCCCAGGCTGGCTATCAGATACTGAGAAGGCGGTCAAAGATTGGGGCCTGACTTGATTCTACTCCCAGCCTGACTTCCTTTTATAAAAACTCTGCTACACTTCTGTGCGTGTGATGATGGCCATGAAGGCAGTTTGTAAACCAAGAAGTGCTATCTCCCGTCACAAAGAGGGCAGTGGCTGAGGCTGATGGTGCACCTGTCTAGGATCTTGAGCTGCCCTGAGTGTCTGCTTTCTGGGAGGCAACACCCGCAAGGAGAGAGACCCCTCCTGGGTCTCCAAGGGGACCTGGTACCTGCAATCATTTCTCTTTCCTCTAACCTTCCTCTCCTCGGCTGGACTTCTCTCACTGCTCAGAACCACCGGCCTTTGATGAGCTGTAAAGGAGTCATGAATAAATGGACATAAAGACAGCCTTTCTCCAGGCACACTAAATTCTGAAAATTAAGTTAATTCTTGCTTGTGGCCTTGTGACTAAAAGCTTGAGCCCCAGGGTCAGGCTTCATGTGTCCAGATACCAGCTCCTCCACACCTACTGGATGAATGTATAAAAACCCTTTAACCTCTCAGAGCTCCGGCTTCTTTGTCTGCAAAAGAGAGGTCAAAACAACACCCACTTCACAGGCTGATATGAGCAAGGGCATGAAAGTCCTTAACACAGGGTGGCATGGAGTAAGAAAGTGACAACTGAAAGCTACAAATATTACTAGATATTTTTGTCCTGGCCGCCCTAGCTTCTCTCAGTTTCCTATAGGACATCAGAGAACGTTTTTCCCAGCCAGACTCTTTGATCCGGGGGAGCAGAAAGTCCCCGTAGTCAGTTCACACTCAGCCTAAATGGGAACTTTCCTAAAAATACCAGTTACGTAAGACAAAATGGTTGAGCGCAGCCACACCTTTAAGACCAAGTTCCACACTCCGAGGTCATTGCGAGCATTGTATTTCATCCGTACATACTTGAGAAAGAAACCTGTCAAGTGCTCTGTAATTGTGTGAACAGGCAAAAAGAGTCCAGCCACATGCCTTGGTCGAGAAATGTAGAAAATTGGGTGCTCCAGCAAGCCAAGTAGGGAATTAATAATATATTTAGGATTACTAATAAAATGCCTGTCAAGCAAGCAGCAACATATTATATACAAAAAAAAAAAAAAAAAATCCTGCCTGTTGTGTGGAGTTTACACTGTTCCTGAGAAGTATATATTCTTGGAAATAACAATGATTCAACCCCAGACGAAACTTCTGTTCCCTGGCATTTCCACCCCCCCTGATTTTTCACTCATGTGTGTATTTTTTTTACATCCCCCCCCCCTCCCATGTAGCTCCACCAACCCTCCCAGACGTCAGTGGGTCAAGCAGCCTCCCAAAGCAGCCTTCTGCACCTGGCTCACAGCCAAGCATCCATGTCTCAAAGCCCAGTCCGGCAGGCTTCCTCTTCTTCCTCCTCATCCTCCTCTTCTTCAGCTTTGAGCGTGGGCCAGTTAGTCAGCAGTAAGTATCCTTTCTGGCTCGGTTAAATCATGGTGGCCTTCTTGTTGCCTATCTGCAATGCCTTCCGTTCTCTCTCTCTCTCTCTCTCTCTCCCCTCCTTCTTTCTCTCTGCCCCCCTCCCTCCCTCCGTCCCTCCCTCTTTCTCTTGCTCTTTCAACATCAAAGAGGAATTTCCTGGCCCTCCTAGGCCAATGCTGGAATACGGTCCATGCCCGGGGCCAGAGGGCTCCCCCAAAGCACACCCACCTCGATGCGCACACGTAGGGGCTGATTTCCACCTCAAGTGCTTTCTGATGTGCTGAGTCAGTCCTGCCACTTCAGAAGGGAGAAACTGATCAGCTTGCAGGGCGTGAGCCACAGAGCTCAGAACTGAAATAACCAACAACAGGCGCTCAGCCAGCAGGTCAAGCTGCTTTTCTGTGTGTTTGAAGTCCCCTGCCATCCTATTTGTAGGTGTCAGAGGAAATAAAAGAGAGCGTGCCTGTGGGCGGGCGGGTGTGTGTGCACACTGAACTGGCTCCAGTGGCATGTGGGGGAAGCTGCATGGACCAGAATCGGATAAGAAATCTCTGAACAACCATTCATAAAATAAAATAAGCCTGCAAGTCGGCTTCCACATATATACATATAATTTTTAGAAATGGTATTTGGCCCCAGGTAAAGACGGCGTATGGATCACATGCAAATCAAAACTTACTAAGATGAAAGGGACCATGGCCCGATTTGATGTTAGATGTTCACCTTTCGTGCAATTTTTACTCATATATTAAAAAATCACAGAATGCACACTTAGATTATAATTCTCCAGGAGCCAAAAATCTAGTAATTATAGGTTTAAAGAGCTGAAGCACTGCATAGACATCTGTGCATAAAATAAGGACACATGTGAGTATCTGTGTTTGGTCAAGTGTCATAAATGACTTGTCATAATAGGAACAGTGGGGATCCTCACATATCATCTGTAATGCAAAGCAAAATAGAGGGTTTCCACGCCCTCCCCATACAAGCAATCCTTCCCCCCAAAAAAGAATATATATATGAATATATGTATGTGTATGCATACGTATATATATATATATTCAATTACATGGATGATTATATGGAGAATTATATGGAGAAGAGAATGAGGAATTATGGGGAGATATTAAAATGCCCAGGAACTTCAGGGGACTAGCCTGGAGGCTCTTGGTCTCAAATATTGGTCAACATCAAACAGAGTTTCGGGGTACACACAGAGTTTACCATCAACCAGTTATTTTTAAATATTTAAATATACAAACACTGTCGTTTGGGCCAGAAACTCCAGTCTTACTTGAATAAAATCATAGATACAATTAATCTAATTATAGCCAGATTTTCCCCAATAAAGACACTCCTCATCACAGTGTTGCCAGACAAGATTTCAGCGTCATTCAAAGTTGATATTCCACCTAAGTTTACGCAAAATACTCTATTTGTAAATAGCATCAAGGTCATAACTTTAGGATAGGCTATTAAGCTTTGGTCCTGAAAGAAAAGGAACTGAGACCAAACATCTTCTAGAGAAGAAATACATTAAATATGATACAGTAAATGGGGCGCCTGGGTGGCGAGAATGTTGCCGGCCCTGATTTCAGCCAGGTCATCTCGTCCCGTGAGTTCGGTCACCAAGGCCGGGCTCTTGGCTGATGGCTCAGAGCCTGGGAGCCTGTTCCGATTCTGTCTCCTCTCTCTCTGCCCCTCCCCCGTTCATGCTCTGTCTCTCTCTGTCCCAAAAATAAAATAAACGTTGAAAAAAAAAAAAAAATGATACAGTAAAGTACAAACCATCCTCAAGCTTAAATACAGGATTTACCAATGTGAAACACTCAGTCCCTAGGCTAGAGAGGTGAGCGATGATACACACAAGATGGATGACTCTGGATTCTCTCTAGCCACTTGTCTCAAACTGGGAGGGAAAGGATTAGCCTTTTTCAGAAATCAGTAATAGAACTACTTCATGGGACAGATGGAATTTCAGTTGTACAGTTGCCAATGGGACAAATGTAAGTTCTAGAGTGTATAAGTGACCCATATTACATATCTTGAATATAAAAGAATGAAATAGAGACTCCTTTGCCATGCCATGCTTGAGGCGAGGGAAAGCTCCAAACTCATATGCAGAGCCTAAATGATGAGGCTTCTCTGGCAGGCTATAAGAGAGGTTCAAGGCGTTTACAATTGCTAAGTGGGATTTTGTTATGCTGTTAATTAATTTCTTTCTGTCTCAAAACCCAACTACACAATGAATGAGTACAGACATTTTCTCTAATGCTGTTCAGGAAACTCTCTGTTTGACTCTAGTTTGTAAAGTAGGCATTTAACCTTTCAACACTCTGAACTTCATTTTTTTTTTTTTTTTTTTTTTAAATTTTTTTTTTCAACGTTTTATTTATTGGGATAGAGAGAGACAGAGCATGAACAGGGGAGGGGCAGAGAGGAGGAGCCAGAATCGAGGAAATCGGCTCAGGCTCTGGGTTCATCAGCCCAGAGCCTGGCCTGAGGGTTTCGAACTCCGGACGGAAGATCATGACCTGGCTGAAGTCGGACGCTTAACCGACTGCGCCACCCAGGCACCCCTCTGAACTTCATTTTAATATTCATAATGAGGTAATAGAAATCCTCACTTTCAGATCTTGTAACTGACATCAAATAGATCCTAAAACTACAACCCATCTTGGCCATCTACTGTCAGAGGGACCACATTCAGTCTTGGTTGTAAGACTGTGGCACTTGGTGTGACCAATCCAATGGGTGGCATGGCCAGGATGATAACCCAAATAGTCTGACTCAATGGGCCATACACATGCTACACAGTACAGCTGCCTTAAAAAATAAGATGTTTACACATAAATTTTATCCAGTGAAATTTGAACGACAATATATATCATATCACCTAAATAGTCTTCAAATAACTTTTAAAAAGCCTGGACCCATGCCCCACAATTGAAGCACAGGCTTTTCCCTAAGCTAGACATTATGCATATTTTGAAATTTATATCCAAGCATGAACTACCCATTTTAAATTACTTTTGTCTGAGATGAAACTTCACCAAATCTGCAGATAGGATAATTTGGAAAGACCCAACCCCGTTCAGATGTAGTTGTTATGCAGGTTAAATTACAGGAGAATAAAAGGGTGTTTTAATCAGAGGCTGTCAACTTAAATATAAAAACACATATTGAGCACCATGTATATACGAAGCACAGCAATAGAAATCAAGAAAGCAAAAGTAAGCAAGATGTGCTCCCTGCACTGAGGGAGGTCATGAACTGGTAACAAAGAAATGCAGGTACAATAAAGATAAATGAAAGCTACGATCGACGCGTGAATAGGGACTATGGCAATATAATAGAGAGTTAACTAAGTTTTAGAGGTTGAGACAGAACAGAAGGACTTGCTAGAGTTAATAATCCTTGAATTGAGTTTGATGGTTAATCAACAAATCCCTCCAAGAGATTAAGGCCATTGTATGAACCAAGTCAAACTGGATTTGAACCTATGGTCAAAACCTTGGTCAATGAACCCTCCCACATCACGGTCAAAGATTGTCACCATAGTGCGGGCAACTTGCCATTGTTCTAGATAAAACAGAACCAAAAATCACCCAAAAATCTTCCCCACTCCAGGCAAAAGAATACAGAGTGAATGCCTTAGCAATGATCACAGGATCTTCGTGTGCAAAGAACACCACATCTGAGCTCAGAACATCTGCACAGTATCTGTTCACGGGACCTATACAGCTTATCCTGTGTTAAACCTTGCTTGTTCTCCACAGTCACCAGATGTAAATACAGTCTATAAGCAGGGCTTTTGGAAAGTCTAACAGAGTCAAACAAATGACTTGACAAATGTCCCAAATTGGCTCAAGATTTACACAATATTGTTTAAAAATAGGTAGATTTCGGTCTTTTTATTCTTTGCTGAGTTTGGTTTTGTTTTGTTTTACAGTACACATGTTTTGAAGCCCTGGCCTGCAAATTTGATTTTTAGACAGCAAAGTACTATGGGCTAATCCCATAAAAAACAAACTATAAAGGGAACATAAAGACGTATGGTGATGGCTTGTAGGCACCCCTGATTCCCATGATCACAATTCACACCATTTTCCACAATGAAGTCACCATATTGCATATTAAACTGTTCCCCCACATTACCTTGCACATTCTCAAATGGTTTATTTCTCAGAAATATTTGGTAAATATGCCCATTATCCGCTGTGAGAATAACATTAAGAACCAGATGGATGTTTACATAAGACAGTTAATTCATACTTGGCAGCTTCTTTAAAGTTGCATATCTTGTATATAAAAATCCCACAAGCAGAGGTTGTGAAAGCATGATGCTGATGGACGGTGGCTGCTCAACCCAGTCAGCAGCCCCTTACGCTGATGTTCACATTAACTGGTGGAGGGAGCTAAAGTTGAAAAGCAAAACAAAACATCTCTGCTGGTCCATCCTTAGCACTCAGTTCAGTATGGACCCAGTGACCCTACAACCAGGGTCTGCAGAACAGATCTGTTTTCACCCAATTTGCATTTAGTTCCCATAAAGATCTTGTGCTCTTCAGCCCTTGCATCCCAGATTCGATTTGGGAAACATCATCATTATACTTAGGAATCACTGCCAATTTTCAATGCCAGTTTATTCTCAATCTCTAGGCCAGTTAATCTCTATAGAGGTTGATCTTCTGGCTCCTCCATAGCAAAGGGTGAGACTCAGGATGGACCCTGGCAATTACTACTGTTGCTTTCTGACCCTGTACTTAATATATTGGGTTGACTTAACCTGAGCAAACTTCTTTTTAATTTTTTTTTTTTTTTACATTTATTTATTTTTGAGAGACAGAGAGAGCACAAGTGGGGAGGGGCAGAGAGAGAAGGAGACAGAATCCAAAGCAGGCTCCAGGCTCTGGGCTGTCGGCACAGAGCCCGACGTGGGGCTCAAACTCACGGACCGCGAGATCATGACGTGAGCCGAAGTCGGACGCTTATCCTACTGAGCCATCCAGGCGCCCCAAACCTGAGCCAACTTCTATGAAAGGTTCCTCTTCCTCCTCAGTGCAGAGAAGGCCCAGACTGAGTTGCTCCGGTGCTGAATCCACCTGGGAGGGATCTGAGAGATCCCTCAGAGGGGTGGCCATCAAGGTGGCCTCAGATTCATCCTTGAAATTAACCCAACCTCTCAGGGCCAGGAGACTGGACGAGGGAAAGCCAGACCTATCCCAAGATGGAATGTCAGCCTCTGAGCCAGGCTGACAGCTGAAGTGACATTCCAGGGAAGCTTCCATTTACCACATTCCTCTTGTTTTCCCTTCTCAAATAGAAAAGTATATACCCCTTAAGGAAGGTGAACTGTTCCAACAGTGGACCAGGGGGTGGGAATCCTCAAGAGTTTAAGATAGAAACTTTAGGATCCAAAAAAAAAAATCATTTTTTTTATTAATTCAAGATACCTTACAGACACCATCTAATGAATTCTCCCAAAGTGTGAAAACAAGTCCCACATTTTTGTCCCAGGGTGGCCTCTCCTTTGGATGGGGAGACCTTCATAGACTTGACCCATGGAAAAAAACTGTAATAATTTATTTTACCATCTGATTTTATGGGTAAGAACAGTAATATGGAGAAAACCAGGTAGCCCATCTCCAGCAATTAACAAAGTACACAAACAAGGAGATAACTGATTTCCTCTCCCTGGGCTTTATCCAACAGACCATCATGCAGTTTCAATTTCACCATTCCTAGCTCATCAGCCCTAGAAGTAGAACCAGAAAAAGACTAGAGTGGAAATGTGTGTGACAGAAGGAAGGAGCTCAGCCTCCTGGTGTGATGAGAGCGTGTTTGGAGCCCCATGGAAGACACTGGGCTCGGCGGGGCAGGTGCTCACATCTCTGAGCTTTACAGCGAAGGTTTTGAGAAGCGGCACAACGTCGCTTGGGGCCCGAGAGCAAGAGTTCACAGCTTTCTGTTCAACTCCGGTCATTGTCAGTAATCTGGCACACACATAGATTTAGTTGCTGGTCTCAAGGAACCAGTAAAGAGACATAAGCATGAAAGGCAGCAGGGGAAGGGAAGAAATAAGATAGAATGCATTTACATAAAATTGCAACCCAAGTCACAAACCTGCCTGGCACCACCAAGCTAAATCTGGTGTTGGCCCGGGGCCAGGGGCTGAAGCTCCATACTCTTGCCGGTTAAAGGCCCGCCCCTCACGTGCTGCCTTACTCCATTGATTCCTGTTCATCTAAAGATGGAGCCAATATTGGGCAACAAATTTACTTCCCACAAGGACTAGTTAGCTTTGCTCAGAGGAAAACTCTTCTCCCTAACTCCAGACTACACTAACGGGGGGGGGGGGGGGGGGTGTCAGGGAGTGCGAGGATGGGGCACCTACCCAGGGGCCCCCCCTCACAGGGCCTTTGTGGCTGGTCACTCTTACACAGGTGGGACGGTAGTGGCATCTGGTGAATAATGATGGTAAAGGGGTCAAGAGAAGATAGCTGTGTGCAGAGGGCGAGATGCCCAGATGCGGGCAGGCCAGAAACAGAGAGAAGGCCCCTGTCTGTGGGCTCCGTGGATCCCCTGCATCAGAATCACCTGTGGTACTTGTTCAAAATGCATGTCCTGGGCCCCATCAGGTGACCCCTAGTCACCTTTTAAGAAAAGCACCATCCCAAAGGTCACATTGTTACAAGGAAAGTTTCCAGCTTCCTATTTTCCACCCTCGGTTTTGAACCTTCACTTCCCACCCTATTTAAATATAAAAATGAATATTTATTTTTGAGAAGGGGGGGGCTGCAAGTGGGGGAGGGGCAGACGGAGACTGGGACAGAGGATCCAAAATGGGCTCTGCACTCACAGCAGAGAGCTCCATGCGGGGCTAGAACTCACAAACCAGGAGATTGTGACCTGAGCCGAAATTAAAGTCGGTCACTTAACCAACTGAGCCACCCAGGCACCTCCCCCCCGCTCCAGCATTTGTGCTTTTCTGTCCTAGTTGCCCTCCTTCCTCCGTGGACCGTTAATATCACAGATATACTGCACATCTGTTCTGTTTATGTACCACGGCCCTTGGGGTGGCCACAACTATTGTCCAATCTAAGACTCTTCCACCTTCCCCCCCACCCCACCACCACCCCAGAACCAATTTCCACCCCACTGGGAATGCACACTCTAAACGCAGCAGAGTCACAAAACCGGCTGAGCCAGGCAGCAGGTCTAAGGAGGGCTGCAAATGAGGAGGAGGGGCTCTCAGGGCAGCCAGAACCAGTTCTAGCTGACTGTTCCCAAGTTAAGTGCAAACGGAGGCTGGAGCAGCCAAACTTCTATTCAAATGAACATAAACCATAGAGGTGTTTTTTTTTTCTTTAGCAATCTCCCAATGTTTAAATGTTGGCAATTCCAAAAAACCGTAAGCTCTAGGAAAGCTGAGTTTGATGTGCAAGCTGCTCATTTGCAACTTCTGCTCTAGGAATGTTTAAATGAAGAAATGAGAGAAGAGGCTCCAGGCTGCTGGGTGTGTGGACTTGGCTTCCCAGAGTCCTTAGCAAACTCTCGGAGTCGCTCCAGGCTGCGGTGCTGATGGGACTTAAGATCCAGAGGGCAGCCTCTCACGAGGACAACCCAAACAAGCCTTTCTTTAACCAAGGAGAAAAAGCAAGATTTGTATAGTCACTGCCCAGGGACTGCCCCTGGGCCCTGCCCCTGCCCAGGGACATAGATCCTCAATGTCCTACACTGAAAATGTTCTTCGCTCCTAGCACGAGCTCCCCAGCCCATAAAGTCCAACGCTCTTGGCCTGCATTCTGTGCCCACCTCCCCAGAATATGGCCCCTTCATTCTCTGAAAGCTGCCCATTGGGCATGACCCAGATGAATCCTCCCTCCTACCACCTCTCCCTTCTCTGTAAATTCTGCGGCAGGGGTCACACCAATAGTTCTTGATTATACTCAGCCTGGTCTTTTTCTCCAATTGTTTCTCATTCATAATATTAAGTCCCAACCCCCTACAGACTATAAAGTCCTTAGAGACCGCAACTCCCCTCCTGTTTCTCTAGCTCCCTCTTAACACTCATTAGGACTCCCAGGAGTCACTTAAGAAATACTTAGAGACTGTCCATCGTGCTTGTACCTTGTACCACTTTTCAATCTTTCCTTGAACAAAATTATGATGAACAACACGTAAAAATTCTACAGGGGTTGTACAAATGTGAACATAAAGAAGGTACGGTGCATACCTATATTGCTGATTCTATAGACAGAGTCCATTTCCCCTGTAATGACCATCTGTACCCAAAGCTCCAAGCCCCCCCCCCCCCCCCCCCCCCCCGCAGATATTAGCATGTTTATTTAAAAGTCTTTGAAAACTTGGCCCTTGAAATGCAAATGTTTATTTCTCTTCATGAGAACAGGAGTTTCTGTAGCCCTGAGCCCAGAAGACTAATCTAGTCCACCACAGTCCCTTGACAAGTGCTTGAATTTACTGAAATTGATGGATTATTGTGCAGAAAGAGGAAGAGAAAAACTTTTCACCTAAGTCCAAGGAATGAGGTGGAGAACAATAGAGTCAGCTGGCGGGGAGAGCGGCTTCGCTCCAGGCAGGATCGAACAGCACTTTGAAATCTTCCCCTATCCCCAACCCATGCTGTCTCCAGCCTGGCGTTTGCTTTCATTTATCATTTATCCGGGGATCAGTAGCGGGAAGGGGGGGTTCGTTCTCCAGCTGTTGTGTCGTTTCCCTTGATAAGTCCTAAATTGACCGCGTTCTCCGGCACCAAAGGAGCCTTCTTGCAGTAGGCATTTTTTATCATGTGCCCTTTTAGGGGACAAAGGCATCATGTCAGTAAACTGCTATCGGAGAACAAAAAAAAGATAATATTCGTCTCACAGCTTCATAAGCATGGTCTTCTGAGGGGCTAATGTGAACATAAGAAATTAGACAGCATTACCATCTGTTAGCCTGACAGCAGTGGTGATCCGGTGAAGGAAAAACACAAAATGCTATTTTTTCCAAGGGCAATTTTTAGCCCTAAAGAATCCAATTAAGACATTTCAAATTGAAGCCTTTCCATGTTTGTAGTTTCGCACAATATTTGAACATCTTTATGGGCAAAATGGAGTTGCATCCCATAGCTAGTGCCTTCCTGCCCTGACTGTTACTTGTGAACCCCAAGGGAGCATGCTCTTGTATTGTGAAAGCGGCGGTGTGAGCTTCCTGGGGCATTTTCCCGGGAAAGAAACATCCGAAGGATGATTTGTGGAGGTGTGATGGCTCGAAGATGGGGTCTTGGGTGCCTCACGTGGGACACACAGGGAACACTGGACAATGTTGGTTTCCCCACCACTCTGCTATCAAAGAGAGCCACTTTCTTAGAAGCCGTGATAAACAGATATTACTTGGATGTGTGTTGACGTATTGATCCTATTTTTAAAAACATCTCCACAGATCCTCAAACGGCAGCGGGTGAGGTGGATGGGGTTAATCTGGAGGAGATCCGAGAATTTGCCAAAGCTTTTAAAATCCGGCGCCTGTCCCTTGGCCTGACCCAGACTCAGGTGGGACAGGCTCTCAGTGCTACAGAGGGCCCCGCGTACAGCCAGTCGGCCATCTGCAGGTAACCCGTGCCCACATGCTGTCACCTCTCCTGGCCGGCCTGGGCCTCGTTTGTCCTCATGGCTCAGCTTTTCTTCTTCGGGTGGGCAGAGCTGGAGGGGTAGAGTATGGGGACTGAGTTTGGGGCGCTTACATGTTGGAATTGGTGACACTGATGGAAACGAAGGTGCTGAAGCAAATTTGGGGTCCTGGCTTGATAACTCCTGTCAACTCACAAAGAAGGCGGTCTCATTGGAAGTACCCCACCTCGGGCCAGGAGCTTCCTTCTGGATCTCCCCACCCTCCTGTGAGGCTGAGAGCCACGGTCTCCTGTCTGCAGACAGGCGTCCTGAGCGAATGTCATAAAGCTGCCGTTCCCACCATTTCTGCCCAGGGATGGCTCTCAGGATTCTTCCAAGAAAAAACACCTTAAAAAGAAAATTAACCGTCTCGTGACCGCCGAGGAATGCAGTAGCATTGCCTTCCCAGACACAACTCTAAAAGCACA